TAAAAATGTTGACATGCTTTTCAAGTCTTGTCACTGTTATAAGTACCTATATGGGCACATTATTATTGCTCTGAACTGTTCTTTAAACATGCTATTTGCTGAAGCTGTGAACATGTATAATGTACTTTTCTGCTTAAGTCAAAACACATCTGAATTTTTATATTGTTGCCTACTAATGCATTATGATGTGCACATTATATTGTTAGACTGAGACTATTATCAATAATATATAGACCATTGCTAGTTATTTTTACCTGATTTTAGCAGGCTATTGAGATAATAGTTATATTCCTGTCTTTCATAGCTAGCCAACTATAGTGTGTTCAGAAGCAAATGATATGAGAACACTTTTCATCCCTTCAAAGCCAATAATTCAATAAGAAATCCAGTCCTCGCAAAAGCCCCATACAGTCATCCCTGAATTTGCCCTTGTCGCATTTCCTTTGAAATGGAGTTTCTCTCAGAATTCTGTGGCAGACTCAATATGAGCCAGAAATTTAGCAACAGAAATATTCCTCAAGGACCACTGCACTAGACCAGAAAGAAAACAGAAGATAAACAAATGGTTATGAAGGAAAGGAAGTCAAATTAAGTCACCCCTCTGCAATCTATTCAGATTCAGTCTCTTTTTTATCACAAGTTTCATTAGTCAGCTTGCCTTTTTCCTTTGGAAAGGAGGGTTACCAAAATGGGAAGTATAATCTGCACAGGTTATAACAAATTTAGGATGATAATTTTACCTTTTTCTTCAATCCCTTGGCAATCAGCTCAAGCCCTAGGAATGCACCCAAACAGGGGAGCCCCACTTGTTCGAGCTCAATGGATGTCCCACCTACTTCGAATCCAGTGACTAGAAGCAGACCAAACTGGGGCGAGAGAGAAAGCTACAGACTTCCATCTCTGATAGGGACCATGATTCCACATACTTTTAACAGCGAACAAATAAGCACCTAAAAACCATGAAACTGTACCATGATTTATGCAGAATGAGTTGCTTTGTACACATTTCAATTTGCCTAAATCACACTAGAGCCACATGGTTTTTAGGTGCTCATTTGAGGACATGCCATTGGTGGTTAAAACAATGTACAAATTGCAGTCTGTTTTAGAGAGAGAAGCCCCAAATCTGGCTCTACTTACACCACCGTGAGTCAGCACCAGAGAAGGGTTATCAAACCAGAATTCAGGCATGGGGGAAGAATCATGAAAATCTGCCACATATTCACCCACCCTCACACATCACTACAGCACCTGAGAAACTGCATCCTCATCTCTGCCTCAACACCCAGACCTTTCTCATATACAAGGCTTAAAGTCATTTGAGCTCCTGTCCTAATATTTATACTGTGAAAGAGAAAGGGAAGTGACTATAGAGCAAATGAGTATTTGGGCCAATGAAAGTTTTACATTTGCATTTCAAATTGATCATATGTCTTGCTTCAGACAGGACTAAAAATAAGGTTGCTGCCAAGCACAGTAGCCCCCTTGGTAACATGTAGTACAAATTTACCTCACATCCTGACAATTTTACAAAAGGCTGCCTTCCCATGATTGCAGTTTGGGAAATAAGCCCTACTGGTGCCCGTGGGTTTTGGTGCTTTGCTACCCATGGCAACAAGTCAGTCTACCCAGCTATGTAACCATGCCAATCTCTGTGGCACAGAACTGGCACACACAGATGGTTAACAAACGACCACAGCCATTTCCCCTCTCCTCAGGCCACATCATTGTCGGCAGGAGATCACAGTATAGCCAAGTCAGTCTACAAAGATAAAACAACAGAGGCAGAGATTTCAACCTGAGGCTGCCTTGTTGAGTGGCAGCTCTTCAGATGTCTCTGGATTGTTGTTTTTAATAATTCTCAGCACCACACAATTCTACAAGGATCTCAAATACTTGTTATTCTTGATGGCTTCTTCCCAGTTGCACAATCTCCTGCTTTTGGCAATCCACAAAACCCAAGCCCCTTTCAGGAGCTTTACAAAATATTTAAATATGGATTGGCTTTGTGTCTGGGGTAGAGCAAAGCGACATGGTGGGAAGCTGGAAATCTACCTGAGCTGACATTTGCACATGGTGAATGAGCCGATGCAGGGGTGAGTGGCTACAGCTTGCTATTCTTGAACAGTTGTCATGCTTCCAGTGGCCATATAATTTTGTCCACTGCTGCAGCACATCTCCAATTTCTCTATCATTCTTTCATATTTCCACTCAGACACACACTTTTGAAAATAGTCTAAGATAGTTTTTTCACAGCATCTGACAGGCAGCTTTTTCCTGCACTGCCAAACACCATCATGCACCCAATCCATATAAAAGGTGCATCGACAGCTTAAACATGCAACCATATGGAGGGGCTTCCTCTCATCAAATGTTTACATGTTGCACTTCATGTGTGAATCCAGCAAGTTTCATCCACCCCCCCCCCCCCCATATCAGCATTAACCACCCTGGCAAAGCTGGGATTTGAAACCATGCGTCCAGGAATATTTTTCAAACATTCTCTTCCACTGAACTGCATGATATCCTTTTTGCATAATTCCGCCGGTCGAGAGAGCAGAAGCTGCGCTGTAAGCAACTTTTATGGTTGTCAGTGTGTGAAAGTAGCCAACAAAAGAACAGGGAAGACAGAACAAACAGCATCAGCTCAGCTTTGATGTGTGCAGCTATTGGATGACACAGAACCCACACCTGCAGAGAGCTCTTCTTTAGGGAATAATGCATGGGAAGTGACATTGTGTGGAGACCATGAAATTAGAGAAGAGCTAAATGCCTAGAATTCCAGCACCACCTCTGAGCCAATAAAGATCATTACCATGAAAGAAAAACCCTACCCCTGGCCAGGTATAAACAGCCTCATCTTAATTTCCCATAGCCTTAATTACCATCACATTCACAGGTCCTTTTCTGACAACAAGATAATTGTTATAGTGACATTTGAAATTGAATGGAAGCCCAGTGCAAACAGATTAGGTGGTTAGGATTTTCCACTGTCTGCATTTAAGAATCTCTTTGGAAATGCCTAAAGGGTGTGATACAATACTTTGCCAAATACTAACATGTTCAAATAAGTTGGGAAGGGGATGCATGCACGTATGAACACATGAAGTATGAACTGTTTAATAGTATTGCGCTAATTAAATACCTTACCTAGTTTTCCTGTTGGTTGATCAGTTTCCAAAATGCTCAATTTTATCCCTATTTGAATCTTCATTTATTTATTTATTTATTTAGGGAACTTCTATGCCGCCCCATTCGCCAAAGCCTCAGGGCGGCTCACAAATATAAATAACATCATATAAAACAATACAATTGAACAGTATAAATTAAGTCGCCCTGGCCAAAGAATAAAATAAATAAATAATATTAGCAATTAAAATAACATTTAAATAAAAAGGTCTTCGCCTGGCATCGAAAAACAAATAACGATGATAAGTGTATCATCTTCAAGGATAGGTTCAGAAACAAAAGTGCTTATGTAGTGATAACGGATACACACACACCAGTGTGTGTTTTTGTGTGCATGGTATATATAATACAAACAGATGGATGCTTCATGTGTCTGAATGCATCTAAAACCTTTTCAATAGATTGTTAGATCAATACCTTTTTCTTTAATGGCTTTTGTATTACAGGTTTCTTTATATTCCTATTGTAGGGCTGTTAGGAGTATGCAGATGCCTCAGGTAATGGCTCAATCCAAGGCAAATAGCCACACTTTCAAAATATTTAGAGCACTTCTGAATCCAAAACAACTTGGGTCCAAAGAGGTCTGAAGTGAAGAGGGTTGGCCAAAGCTGCTCAGCGATTCAGAAGTATTTTGTTCTTGCTGCTGCTGTTTCTCTTTTTATGGAAGGAATTTGATACACTTTTAAAATCTCATTCAAGCTTTCAATAAATAGGAAAGGCCAGGCAGAGAAGAAAAGTAGATGAGAAGAGGGATGCATTGTTTTGAGACTAACCACTAGCTCCTAACCAGGTAACACTTTTGCTGGGCAATCCTCCTTCCTTTCAATTGCAGAACTTTGGAGTGGGATGCAGAATGAAGCCATCAAAATTAGCTTCAGTGTTTTCACTGCTTTTGGTGGTTGTCTGGCAGCGGTCACTGAGGCCTTCGGAAAATAGCTGAAGAACGACCTTTAATTGCCAGATGGTGTCACATCACAGCCTCTTTAGTGGGTGGCTGATGCCAGTTACCCAATCTGGTATGTGGTCCTTCACTAGCACCCTCACCTTAATCAAGCTCCTCTGCATTTTCTCCCTGACTGCATGGAGGACAGAATGTTCCTGTTGAAGGTGCTGCAAGCCAACAGAGCCTGGTGGACTTTGTCCATTTCTGGGGCTAAAAAGTTGCAAATATTTTCTGTATCATGGGAATAACTTTTTAAAGAATAAAGATATCTCATACATTTCAGCAAGCCCAACAGAAAACACACAAGAATTAAATGATATGAATATGAATGACATGAATGACATGACATGAAAAACCAAGAAGGTAGTTTTTCAAGAGATCATTTGCATTTTCAGACATAATTTGCACAGAAATAAGAAAGAATCAATTTTGGTTTGTGATGCCCTGTTGATGACAAAGAGAAGGTTTTCACAAAGTGATGGAAAGGATAATTTCAACTGAAGAAAAATATGTGCTGTATTATCAATAAAAACCCATGAAACTGGTAAGAAAAGACTTAATCAGTTGAATAAAGCTGCAATCCTGAGAGTAAGTTCCATTGAATTCAGTGGGATTTACTTCCAGGTAGACACATGCAGGATCACAGTGTATTTCTGTAATTATGCCTGCCTGCATAGCTATACATTGAGCTGGCATATTGTGTCACCTTTGCTAAGCTGGACCTGCAGACAGATGGGTGACCACATGTGGAAGTGGAACAGGTGGCTGGATTTGATGGTTGGATAGGTCCCCTCCAACTCTACTTCTGTTGTGTTGTGTTGTATTGTATTCTTATGAATCATCAATTATTACAGAGCTTCTTACTTACACTTTTACTCCTGACATATAATGTATTCATGTTCTTGTTCATGATGCTGCAGATGCTGATCAGGTATAGGCTTTATATGATGACGCACCAGGTCCTGCCCATTCAGAGGCCAGCAAACTGAAAGAGAAGATTGTGTTGTTATTTTGTGCAATTCAAGAATAGTTACGGAGTTAACACTAATGTAGCACAAAAGAAATGTGTTCGTGCTTTCCATTTCAGTCAGTATACTTGAATCCATGCAGTGCAATCCTGTCTACTCAGATGAGAACCTCATTTATTTATCATTTACTATTTTAATTTATACTATGCTGTACTGTACTGAAAGAGGTGGGGTGGGGGAGACAAAGTCATTCCACCAGTTCTACTGCAAAGATTTTCCCCCTCTTTCCTCCACACTTCTTTCGTTTCATGCCTTGGAAAGACTGTCTTGTTTAGTTCATTTTATGTAAGTTACTGTGGAAGCCTTTTTGGCCTAGGAGTAACATCAAATAAGCAAATAGGTTATCTAAATAGCATGCAATTATTTTAAAATAGAAAAACGCAATAAAATGCTAACAAAAGAGCACAATAATGCAAAACCAACATGATAAATATTCAATGCAAAGCCAACACAGTAAAAAGTAAGGAGCCAAAACCAGTTCCTAAAAAAGTAACTCAGTAAATCATTGGGGTTTACTTCTGGGAACTTTCCCTAAAAACAAAAATGACAAAACTGAGGCTGCTGTACTTCAGGCACATCATGAGAAGGCAACACTGACTGGAGAAGACAATCATGGTAGGGGAAGTCAAAGGCAGAAGGGAAGGCCAATATGAGAATCCACCAAGCAAGCCATAGCCTCAAACCTGGAAGAGGTGGATGGAACTGTCATGGACAGGACATTTTGGAGGCCTTTCATTCATAGGGTCCCTGTAAGTTGGAGACAACTGACAGCACATAACAACAACTGGGTAGGGAGTTGTGCTGGAGCCACAAAAATGGTATTCCTTACATTAGAATTTTATGGACATTTTCATATCTCTCCAGCCTTAGGACTTCAACCCCAGTGACAGCTGAGGATCTGTTTTCAAGGTGTTAAGCAAAAAAGGCAATAAATCATTTGATTATATGTATAAATCCAGCCAACCAATTGTCAGTTACAAATGCATAGCACCTGTATCATGTATTGCTTCCCATATATAATGGAAGAAGAAAACACAGCCACTTCTCCATGTATTCTGGATCCCTGGCCAGAGAATATGTGAACTAGTGGGTTCACACAAAGCTGATCCACTGGGAAATTGCTAGGATTGTACACACCTTTTGTCACCTTTTGATCATGTGCTGTCTCACTCTCTTAAAATATAGGGAAGTAGACCTATATGTGTGAGAGCCATCCGTCTCCAGCTTGGTGTTCTCCTGATTCTTTCATAACAACCTCTCAGCATTCATGACCATTGGACATACTGTAAGGGGCTAATAGGAGCTGTGGTCCAAACCATCTGGAGCATGCCAAGTTCAGAAGCCCACTGTAGGCTATGAGAGTTGCACAGAAACCAGATAACTATCTATTTTGTGGGAATGCTCTGGCATTTGCCTGACTTGGCCTTTCAGCAGTCCTGTAAGACTGGGCAAAAGGCCCATTCAAACTAATCATCTCAATTATTTTAAAAGGTACACAGCAATCAAGAGTGGCAGATTATTTGTGCATTGCTGAATAATTCATCTGCATCTTATGCCTACCATTTAAGGTTGGAGGAAAGATGTTGCTTCCAAGGCTAATCTAAAGCACAGCCTCTACTGCAAAACCTGGCATGGAAACATAGAAACATCAATTAATTATAAGTACCACAGCAATCAAACCAACTAAAGGAGCTGGCAGTGGTGGGATTCGAACCCACGCCCCCGAAGAGATTAGAGCCTTAATCCAATGCCTTATATGGCTCGGCCACACTACCCTATACAAGGAAGGAACCATTTGATTCAAATTGCTGGACATACATCGCTTGAGTCATCCATTGACCACTGCTGGATTTGGCAGGATCTAATATTTGCTTTCTTTAAACCTCAGTGAGGAAGGCTGTTGACAGACTGTTGACTTCTCTGGCACTTTGCTTACAAGCTAGAAGGAAAGGATCATGATTTTTCACCCTGTTAGAAATTGCAAGTCTAAAAATTGGTCATACGTAACATACCAGTGCAGAATTATTGAAGAAAGGCATGGGTGAACCAGGCCTTGGGATCATTGTGGACTCCAGTGATAGTTAGGTAATCATTATCACAGCCTATCGACAGCGTATTAATCTCTCTTGCTTGACAACGGAATCCACAACTAGAACTAAATGTTGTCAAATAAAAACTGAATAGAGCTATAGGAAAGTAAGATTCCTATGGAGGCATAATCAACTGAAAGATGCCATGACCTTGTCTTGTTTGGTATCCTAGCAGACTGAAAAGTTCCTGCATTGCTGGCTGAATGTTGTATTTTGATGTCAAGTTTATGACCATTTATTGCTAGCGAGTTCCAGAAAAACATCTCCTTCTGCTTCATTGACTATGCTAAAGCCTTTGATTGTGTGGATCACAACAAACTGTGGAAGTTCTTAAAGAGATGGGACTACCAGACCATCTTATTTGTCTCTTGAGAAACCTATATGCAGGTCAAGAAGCAACAGTGAGAACTGGACATGGAATTTTCAAAATAGGAAAAGGACCACGGCAAGGCTGCATGCTGTCGCCCTGCCTATTTAGCTTATATGCAGAGCACATCATGAGAAAGACGGGGCTGGATGAATCACAAATTGGAATAAGATTGTCAGGAGAAATATCAACAACCTCAGATATGCAGATGATACCACTCTCATGGCAGAAAGTGAAGAGGAACTAAAGAGCCTCTTGAAGCGAGTGAAGGAGGAGAGTGCAAAAGTTGGCTTGAAACTCAACATTAAGATAACTAAGATCATGGCATCCGGTCCTCTCACTTCCTGGCAAAGAGATGGGGAAGAAATGGAGGTAGTGACACATTTTATTTTCCTGGGCTCCAAGATCGCTGCAGACAGGGACTGCAGCCAAGAAATTAAAAGACACTTGCTCCTGGGGAGGAAAGCTATGGCAAATCTAGACAGCATACTAAAAAGCAGAGAAATCACCCTGCCAACAAAAGTGCGTATAGTCAATGCTATGGTTTTCCCCTTGCAATGTATGGTTGTGAAAGTTGGACCATAAGGAAGGCTGAGCGCTGAAGAACTGAGGCCTTTGAATTGTGGTGCTGGAAAAGACTCCTGAGAGTCCCTTGGACTGCAAGATGATCAAATCAGTCGGTCTTAGAGGAGATCAACCCTGACTGCTCTTTAGAAGGCCAGATACTGAAGATGAAACTCAAATACTCTGGCCACCTAATGAGAAGGAAGGACTCCCTGGAGAAGAGCCTAATGCTGGGAACAATTGACAGCAAAAGAAGAATGAGATGGCAGAGGGTGAGGTGGCTTGATGGAATCACTGAAGCAGTCAGTGTGAGCTTAGGTGGACTCTGGGGGATGGTGGAGGATAAGAGAGCCTGGAGGAATGTTGTCCATGGGGTCCTGACGGGTTGGGCACGACCTCGCGAATAACAGGACATAACATTCCTTTGTATGAAGATTTAAGGCCAGACTAAATGTTCCTCAAATCATGCATAGCGGAACCATGGCACTCAGAAAGAGTGTCAGATTTCAGCTTCTCCAGCCATTTTCGTCCCTCAATTCCACCTCTCCACAGCCAAATAAGGTAGTTTTCCATCCTTTTTATAACCTCTGCAGAAGAGAAATTCTCAAAACAGACAATTATGCCAAAAATGGAGAGGGACATTTAAATTCCCCTCTCCCAGGGCATCCCAAGGGCCTCCAGATGTTTTGGCCCACAATACCCATCAAGTTGAACCAAAAAGGATGAGGGATCATGTTATGGGCAAAAGCATCTGGATGGCTAAAAGTCACCCACCCCTAATGGATTTAGGGACAGAACTGGCATCCAAATTTGCTGCAGAGCCTAAATCCTATGTTTCTGCCTCTGCTAGGCTGCTCCATCTTCTGCAGGATGTGATGTGACTTTGGACAAATCAGTCCTGTCAACACCCGCAGCCCATCCTCAGTTGCCCATGTGTGAAGTGCAGTTCACAATGATACATTATACCATAAGCCTGCTATAATAGAAATGGGGGACTGCTATAGAGATATGCACAGTAGTACTTCAGTGGATGACAATTTCTCAAGCAAATTGACATTTTTTTGAAAATAGGTGAAAAATCTGAAAGACACTATAAGCTGCATGTATACTTTAATCATCTCAAATCTAAAAGGCAATGCAGAGGAAAATACCCCACCATGTTTGCCAAGCCATCCTCCCGACTCTCCCTCACCTCCTATAATGAACTGCGTTGCTAGAAAATATGCTATTCTAGGCAGGTTCTTTAAAATGTTTGCTCCAGAGAAATGTTTTAAATTCTTGTCACATTTTGTTGATAGTCAAGGTCACATTGCTAATCCAAGCTCAAGAACTATGAAGGCAACTACATTGCTATGGCAAAGATGTGGGGTGAGGAGTATATATTTTAGAAAAGAAATGCCACACATTATGCATTTAAATAATGCTTTTCTCAGTAGGAAATAGAAGTTCATGGTGCTTTGAAAAAATAAAAATCTGTTGTGACAATTGAAAATGGTCAGGAAGAAATTGACTGCTTGCATGCATCATAAACTAAGCATGAAATTGGTCGCCTGTTATGAAGAAAGACCAGACTGAAAGCAGTTTAAGTGAGGTGGAACGGGATGATTTTTTCACCTGCCTTTAGGATAAACTTTATTTGACAATTGAATCATGTAAAAATAGTGACTCTGCCCTCTTTGTACCAGTGCTGCTGATGGCATCTGAGGGCAAAAGGCCACATGGCTGTTATCTCAGTGGTGCATTTTGATTGGATAGGAGATGTAATTCAGTTTTAACATGTGTTTACAATCTCTGAGCAGCAAAGTTAATCTTCTCTTTCACTGAGGGGGAAATAAAAGAGCCTTGTGCCATACAGAATAGATACTACTGCAATTCATTTAGAGAGGGAGAGAAAGAGAGAAAAAATATTTTGAAATATGTTATGGGAATGGTTGAGCTGTGTCTAGCAAAAGATGAGTCAACATCTCTTTAGGCTTTTGTATAGCTGGGTAGCTGAAGCCTAGATGCGGGCACAGGAACTGGAAGAAACAAGTTTGCAGAGAGCAGCCTGGAAAAGAGGTAATGGGCTGCAGTTGTCTTAACGGGAACTGACCCTGCTTTAAAACTCTCTGGGGAGAGCGACATTACAGAGTTTTACTAGCATTTCCATGCCTGACTTACCGATGTGTCATAAGATGCACAGTCCAGACTGACCTCCTCGCTTTATTTCTGCCACTATGACCTGGATTTCTTAAGACCAGTTATTTTTATTTATACTGTTAAACTATTTATTTGTGCATTTTCCCCATGGCATTTATTTCCGCATGTGCTAAATTTGCAGTACAGTGTTGAGAGAGAATGAGTAGGTTCAGTGGTATGGGGACACTGCAGTGAGAAAGTGCCTTTTGGCCATTTTTCAAAGTGCACTTTCTAACGTATGCATGTGGAGGGATATATCTACAAATGACAGAAAATTTCCACATTGCCTCAAGTGTTGAGTGAAAACAACTAGCTGAACACAGAGCTGGTAGCCCTGTAAGGAGAAAAGGTGAGAGCACTGGAGCAGCAAGTATCTATCCTCAAGATAATAAAAGAAAACAAAGAGTTCCTAGACTGAGCAGAGGAGCTGCACCCACTAAGTGTAGACCAGAAGAAGGAGAGCATGGGCAAGCTGAGGGAGAAGAAGAGAACCCTGAGGGAACAGAAAATGAGGAAACTCCCTGGAACAGTGTGACAGTTAGATGCAGAAGACCTAGAAGACACTGCATCAGTGGAAGCAGTGGAACTCTCACACCGCTTTAAGTTACTTGAGGAAGAGGTGTGTGAGGAACCCCCTGTGAAAGAACTACACGACACACTGTGTGACTCTGAAAAAGAAACAAAAGGCCAATCAAGAAAGGAAAACAATACCAAAGTTTGCAACATCAAAAGAAGAATGATAGTTGTGGGAGATTTCCTGTTGCCCAAGATGGAAAAATATGTATATCACAACAACTCAGAGAATTGCCAAGTATGCTGTCTCCCTGTTGCCAAGATGAGAGATATAACCAACAAGTTCATGCAGCTCATACAACCCATTGACAAATACCCCTTCTTTCTCTTCCATGTGGGAACTAACAACACTGCTAGGAGAAGCTTTGATGAAATATCATCAGACTTCAAAACCCTAGGAAGGAAATCAAAAACACTGGGGTCCAGATAGTCTTCTCATCAATCTTACCAGTACACGGAAGAGGAACTTTAGGGAAAGAAGAATCCTTCAAGTAAATGACTGGCTACGATGGTGGTGTTATAAAAAGAGAATTGGATTCTGGGACCACAAGCTTAGGTTCCTGTAAGATGGATTATTGGCAAATGATGGGCTTCACCTCACAAAGAACGGAAAGTATGTGTTTGGCCACTACATGAAAATGCTCATCAAGAACTCCTTAAACTGAAATATACAGGGAGGGAGATGTGCAGCATGGCATACCATCACCTGACAAAGACTGATATCAACAAAGAAAAAAAACAAAACAAAACTCAAGCAGGGCCCAACACCAGTCTCTCAAAACAATGCAGAAAGAAAACCAGGGCACAACCAGAATGAACTTCAATGTCTCTATACCAGTGCCCAGAGTATGCGAATCAACACGAACTTGAGCTCATAGTACATGAAAGCAATTACAATCTTACATGAATAACTGAAACTTTGTGGGATGACTCGCATGACTGGAACGCTACAATTGATGGATACAACCTGTTCAAGAAAAATAGAAAGGACCAAAAGGAAGGT